ACATTCAAACTGATGTGTGGGTGTAAAGGCACAACTCAAGTGTTGGGTCTGTCCAAACCTCACTGACTCTGTTCTCTGGTTAACTGATCTCTGAGGACTCGGTCACTCTACTACTGCCTCACTTCCTTCTTTGCCCTCGTCATAATTACTACAAAAGGCTGCTTAACTATAAAACCTCATTATGGGTCATAACTGATGTAATAATGTAGTAATAACTACTGAGTACTGATGTCATAATGTAGCAATGACTGAGTACTGATGTCATAATGTAGCAATGACTGAGTACTGATGTCATAATGTAGCAATGACTGAGTGCTGATGTCATAATGTAGTAATGACTGAGTGCTGATGTCATAATGTAGTAATGACTGAGTGCTGATGTAATAATGTAGCAATGACTGAGTACTGATGTAATAATGTAGTAATAACTACTGAGTACTGATGTCATAATGTAGCAATGACTGAGTGCTGATGTCATAATGTAGTAATGACTGAGTGCTGATGTAATAATGTAGCAATGACTGAGTGCTGATGTCATAATGTAGCAATGACTGAGTGCTGATGTCATAATGTAGTAATGACTGAGTGCTGATGTAATAATGTAGTAATGACTGAGTGCTGATGTAATAATGTAGTAATAACTACTGAGTGCTGATGTCATAATGTAGCAATGACTGAGTGCTGATGTCATAATGTAGCAATGACTGAGTGCTGATGTCATAATGTAGTAATGACTGAGTGCTGATGTAATAATGTAGTTATAACTACTGATCCATTGCGAGATGGTCTCTACATTTAATTTACACCTGAACAGGCCGTGAGTTTGTGGAAGAGGAACAGGTTTGGTCACACGTCGCGTTGAATCCAGCTCCTGAGTTGAGAAGAAAGAAGAAGAAGAACCTGATCACAGAACAGTCGTACGTACTGGTGGTGTTGTAGTGGATGCCATTCAACTGTTCAGGACAAGGTCTGGAGATCATCTCTCCTGCTGCACTACGAGGCCAACAGGTCCCTATACCATCCACAGATAGGTCACAATACATATCTGCAGGCAGACAGACAAATAGTTAGAAACACTGAGAGACAGAGATACAGAGAGATAGACAGAAAGAAAGACAGATAACGACTTCGACATGCTAGCATTTGATTACCTGAAAGGGGCTGAAGACTCACAACATGTGAGAATGTAAGAGTGGTACCCAACATCACCAGAAAAATGTGAACTTATGTTAATTAATCATGCAAGCCAACGTTAGCTAGCAAGCTAACCCTAGCTTCTGTCTTCTGTGGGCTAGCAGTAAGGTTCTTAGGAGGAGTAAACATAAACTGGTGGATGTGTCAAAGTATGAGTTTAATTTCTGTTGAAAAAATCCCATGAAAATATCATCATGAATACTATGATGTTTTTATACCTGACTATCCTATGACATTTTTATCCATTACTAGACTATGACTTTTTCTGCCTTACTGTACTGTACTATACCATATCTTTGTTTTACCTTACTACACTATGACTTTTTTATACATTGCTATAAATTGAGTTTTTCTTACTAAATCATGGAATATTTCTGACTTACTATACTATTACTTTTTTATTCCTTACTATATTATGACATTTTTATGCCTTACTATGACTTTTTTATGACTTAACATATTATGATTTTATGCCTTAGTATACTATGATGTTTTTATACCTTACTTTACTATTAAGTTTTTATGCCTTACTATACAGTTACTTTTTATACCTGACTATCCTATGACGTTTTTATGCCTTACTTGAGAAAGACTTTATGACTTACTGTACTTTGACTTTTTGTACCTTACTATATTATGACTTTTTATGCCTTATAATAATAATAATAATAATAATAATAATACATTCTATTTGGCAGCGCCTTTCACAGCACTCAATGACACTTTACAGAAGATTAAAAACACAATAAAAATAATAAAAACAACTTACTGCCGTACTTACTGTACAATGACCTTTTTATGCCTTACAATACTATTACTTTTTTATAACTTATTTTACATGACTTTTATGCTTTACTATACTATGATATGTATGACTTACTACGTTTCATCACTTCCCAATAGCAGCTCACTGTAGTTCCCACTGTGCCTTGAAGAAGTAGTTACTCACAGGGTGTATTCTAACCTCTACTATAAAGACAACGATGACTGAAACAAGAGACTATCACCACCACCTGCTCCCAGCAAGAGACCACATTCAGCAGCAGAGAAAACTCACAAATAGCCCCTTAAAGGTTCTTCTTGTGTTCTTTAACATAATCTAGGGTCCTTAGGGGAACATACATTTATTCCCTTGTAGTTCTAGGAACTTAAGAGTTCTCCAATGTTATAATTCATGCCTAATTAGGGTGGTCCTCAGAACCCAGGACAGTCCTGTTTAGTTTGGGTGGTCCTTGGTATTTATGGGTACTCCTGCATTGTAGTAATCCTGAGTATTTAGAGCTACACTTGTCTCGTGAGGGTAATCCTGAGTTCTTCAAGGTTCTTATATGTAATTATGGTAGCCTTGAAAAAGTTTCATCTATGCGGTTGCAGTAAAAAGGTTAAGATTCCCCCACTCTGTCCAAAGAAAGATCAGGCTGGTGATGTGTGATCAAGATCAGTTCAAGGTTAGTCCTGAGCCATGCAGAGCAGCTATGTGAAGTCCAAATCATTTAAAGTTCATCTTGTTTGGAGTAATCATCAAAAGGTCCACAGTGATCCAGAGGGGTCCTTGATGGGAGTGTTGCTCTTATTTACAGTGGTTAACAGAGGTCAAAGGTGAAAGCCAGCTGTACAAACCTGAGGTGTTACTGATGGTGAATGTATGGTTGAGTAACAGCAAAGTCCTCGCTGAGAAAGAGACAGGAAGCAGAAGTTTGCACTTTTCACTAGTTTATTATTTGAGAATTGAGACTGTTGAACCACAGACAGGAAGACAGACAGAAGGTTACCTGTCAGGTTGGTCGACAGGAGGGTCAAAGTTTCACAGGTTAACTCTGCTGGAGATACTCCTCCAGTCAGCAGCGCACACACACAAACCACCTGGGAAACAGAGCGAGAGGAAGAGACGTCATCTTCTCCCACATCCCTGTGGGTCCCAGGGTGCGAAGTGGGGTACGCTTAGACAGGATGTCAGTCAGTCACAGAGCTGATACATAGAGACAGACAACCGTTCACTTCAAACTCACACTCATGGGCACAAATGAAGCTGCATATACTTGTACTGTGGGAGGAAAGAACAGGAAACTGACGCAGAGAGAACATACAGGTTCAGAACCTACACCTGTTACTGTGAGACAGGTCATCTTCATGAGTCACAGCCCTGAGGTCAGACAGGAAGACAGACAGGTTTGAGGATGTTTGCTCAGACTTTTCTTTTCATATTTAATATGACAGACAGAATAAAATATGAGTAAAGATGAATCAGATAATAAAAACTGGCCTCAGAGGATCAGAGTGTGTGAGCTTCAGTTTACTCCGAATAATTTCTTCATTTTCATCCTCAGAAAACGTCTCTCAGCTGGTATTGGTCCAACAGACCAGATGGTTTAAACTGGTCACATGACACTGACCTGTCCACGTGTGACTATCATCTGTTCAACAATAACATGATTCACCCATTCATCAATTCATCAATTAGACTCAGTAACTGACGATAAATCAGCTGTTCAGTCTATTAATTATTCACTAATGTCACTGATTCACTCAGTCACATTCCATATTTCAACACGCTGACACAGACACACACACACACACACACACACACACACACACACACACACACACTGAGTAAATGTCCACAGAGATTTACTGTGGTGATGCTGCAGCTAAATTTAGAGCGACTGCAGCTTTCTCTCTCTCACACTCAGTCTTTGGGGCGTTCAGTGTAAATTTGTGGGTCTGGCTCAGGGGGAGGAGTCACAGACAACAGTCCTGTTGGTGTCCCTACACTAAACACCACGCCCAGTCTCCCTGAGGGATTATGTGGAGTTTGTTCATGAGTTCACGATTTACGTCCAAAGGCGACACGCATCCATCATTTAGCCACATGGTTCCCAGCTGATCTGGACAAGAGGCGGGAACAGGTCTCCAGTCCGTCACAGGAGACACTTAGAGACAAACAACCGTTCACACTGACCTCTGTGGGACATTTAGAGTCAAACTCCACACAGAACCACAACCTGGACCACGGCTCCACCAGGGAGTCACTGTGACCATCTGTCTGTCATGTGATTAACATGATGAGCCAATCACAATATAAACATTTACTAGTGACATCATATAAGCTGTTATAACCACATCAAATACATCTAATGCTTTAAAGTCCCGTCTCTGTTTGATCATGGTCTGTGTGATCCACATTCTGATGGTGCAGGAAATACTGAGTCTGCTCATTAACAAACAGAGCAGACATCATCTTCATCACACACATACACCAGCTGCCTATTCACTGCTTCATGTCTATTTTTAACTATCATCATGTCTGGACCTTAACTATAGTTCATGCACCAGGACCAGGATCCAGATTCTGGATCTGCACCAAACTGTACAGACTCATAGATAAACACCGTTGGTATATCTGATTTTACATCAACAACCAAACTGAGGAAAATCCCTGGATCCCCCTCTCAAACCGGATCAGCACCAAAATGTGATGAGTTCTTCCCTGGACCAGGACCCAGTCTCCACCAAGACTCGTTCAAGTCAGTTCACTGCTTTTTGTGTAATCCTGCTGATAAACACACAAACAAACGAACAAAGATACGCACACACAAACCATCAGACACACACACAAACACACAAACAGACAGACAAACAACAGACAAATAAACAAACAAACACACATAGAAACACAGGTGTAAATATTGTCTCCTTGGTGGAGGTGACTAATGTAGAGACCCAGACCACAGATTTACCTCAGCCACAGTTTGAGCCAAAGCGTCACTTAAAACATGACTTGTACAAAGACACAGCAACACAAAAACTTCAGAGAGCAGCGGGCGGAGGCGGCGCTGACGTACAACCATGAATGTCTTTGTTGTCTGAAGGTCAAGTTTAAAGAACAATCATACGAGAGTTTTCTCTCCAAGAACCAGCTGTTAGTTACTAGATGACTTTACTTACTTTTTACTTTACTTTTTATACCTCAGAAAATATTATCAATAATCACTAGCACCTGAGCCCCCATATGAAACCCTGTGCCAGATGTGTTTCTGATGTAGACTGACTGTTCTCAGGGTTTGCAGTGCCATGCAGGCAGAGCGATCTGATTGGCTTAGAGGTCCCAGGGGGTGACGACCATATGTCTCTGCTCTGCTCGGATTCACCTCATGTACTGATACAGTTTATATTGTTTACACCACTGTGTCACAATACAACAGCACTACTGTATCATTACTTTATATAACATCAGAGAATCAGTGTGAACATTGTTACTGTGTTAAGGTCACGTATAACACTGTGTAGCCCTGTGGCTATTATTTTCATTCATTCATATACAGATATTAAAATGTTTGTGTTGCTTATAAATAATAGTTCATGAAGTGTAAATATGTTTAAAAAGTCATTTCATATACAGTTAAAAGTCAGAGATAAAAGGGTGGTGTTAGTTTTAAAATCCATATGATTGTCGGCACAAAAGATAGGAGACCACGTTTGTTTGTGGGGTAGTGAAGCATCTCTTTAATCTCTCATCTTTGAATGTATGTAGCCTTAGCCAATCCTGTCCTCACCTTGTTCAGGTAGGAGGTGCTTAGCATCACCGACCTGCCGCAGCACATTAGCGACAGCAGAGGCTGCGTCATCGGCCTCCGAGCTGTGGACTGTCAAGTAAATAAAATACTACTAACTCCCAAGACGGACGGAGAGTCGTCCCCTGGTTTATGTGTGAGAACTCTGAGAAGCTGCCGGAGGTAAATTCATGTGTTTTAATGTACTTTGTGCTGTTGTGTAATTTGTAATGTGTCAAAGACGAGCTGAATTGCTAATCGCTGCTAGCCTTTAGCTTAG